AGAGTCTGCTGGTGGGTGGGAGGGAGCCCTGGTGCCATAGTGGGTTACATGTTGGCCTGCTAACCACAAGGTCGGCAGTTCAAAACCACCAGTGGCCTTGGGAGAAAGAGGAGGCTTTCTACTCCCGTAAAGAGTTACAGCCTCAGAAACCAACAGGGGCCGTTCTACCCTGCCCTGTAGGATCGCAATGAGTTGGCATCAACTCAGCGCAGTGGGCTTGGTTGGTTTGGGTGTGTAGGCCACCCCAGGGCCTGCTAGGCAGTGTTTGATTCTAGGGGTGCCCTCCTGGCTCTCAGCCTGTTCCACCCTCTACTGGCCCTTCCTTCCAGGGGGACAGCTCCTTTGTGGTCATGACCAATTTCATCATGACTCCCGGGCAGGTTCAAGGCTACTGTGCAGAGGTGAGGCCTGGGGAGACCCCAGGGAGAGCAGCCTGGTGGGAGGCCCCCTTGGGTCCTGGAGGGGAAGCCACAGGGACTTGGGGCCACAGGAGTGGGGCTCGGGGCCTGACCAGTTAGAGCAGAAGTTGGTGCCACAGCGCGCCCAAAGGCGGGTTTTTAGAAGTAGATCACGCAGGACTCTCTGGGCATCTCTAGCACGGACAACTTTTTGGCTAGCAGCCCAGCGAGTTCACTGTAGATGCCCCCCCAGTGCCTCACTCCCCGCCCCTCCGCACTACCTCTCCACCCCCCACCCCCACCCCCAACTGTGGATGGCTGGGTAAGTGCTCAGCTTGTGATCTTTGATGGGGCTGTGTTGGTAGGGGCTTGGGGGAGGGGATTGTGACCCAGGGTCACCCCCAAAGGGGTCTGAGAGTCTGCCTCACATCCTCCCCAGGGCCCTGGGGGCGGGAGGGGCTCTTCTCAGGACCCCACCCAAGAGGTCTGGGGCCAGCAGCTCTCCCCTCCCTCAGCACCCGGAAGGGGGCACATGCAAAGACGACAGCAGCTGCAGACCCGGGAAGGCCGAAAGGAAGGCCCAGGGTAAGGCCCGCCTCCGTCATGTCCCTCCTGCCACGCCCCCGCCTGTGCCCACCCCAGGCTGTCTCCCCAGGAAGCCCTTCAGCTTGCTGCCCTTCCAGCCACCCAGACCGTGCCCTGTCCCCACCATCTAGCCTGAGACTCGTTCTCTTGGGTGCTCTACCCCTGGAGCTCCGAAGGGTGGGGCCTCGGACCTCAGCTGCACCCCCAGTTCAGCGTGGGCACTCAGGCCCTCCTCCTGGTCCCAGGCATCCGCACGGGCAAGTGTGTGGCCTTCAACAGCACCATGCACACCTGCGAGATCTTCAGCTGGTGTCCTGTGGAGGTGGACGACCAAGTGCCACGGTAACGCCCCATCCTTTCCGGGGCGCAGGGTCCTCAGGCCAGACCGATGGGCCCCTGTGCTCTGGGAAGGATCTGTGCCTTTGTCTTTATCTGACCCTCACCCCATTCCACCCACCCACGGGCCCAGGCTCATCCCCTGCCTCGCCCCGGATCAAGGGGCCCTGAGAGTCACCATTAAAGCACGCCCACCTCCCCACCAGAGGAGGCCATGCACTCGCACCACCACCACCACCCCCACCCCAGCCCTGGCAGGCAGGACCCCCCGGGGGAGGAGCCGTGAGTGAGTGCATCTCTTCCAGCCCCGCGCTTCTCCGGGAGGCTGAGAACTTCACCCTCTTCATCAAGAACAGCATCAGCTTTCCACGCTTCAAGGTCAACAGGTGCGTGGGAAAGGCAGGCAGCTGTGGGGCACCTCAGCCTCCACGCCCTCTTCCCCTGCTGTTGGCCTCCCTCAGGCAGAAGCCCCTGAGCCCTGGGCTGGGCTGCCTACGTTTCCCAAGGAACGGGCATTTCCGGGAGGGAACCCCCCCACACACACCCCACCCCCTCCCAGAGCTTTGGGATCAGGTGGGCACCCTCCCAGCAGACACAGGGCTGCTGCCGCTGCCCCGACAGGCGCAACCTGGTGGAGGAAGTGGACGCTGCCTACATGAAACGCTGCCTCCACCACAAGACCACCCACCCGCTGTGCCCCGTCTTCAAGCTCGGCTACGTGGTGCAAGAGTCCGGCCAGAATTTCGACTCCCTGGCCGAGAAGGTAAAGTGGGGAGGGGGGTGCTGGACAGGTGCAGGGACCCAGGGTCATCCGGCCACTAAAGGCTTCCGAACCAGTTCATCTCCCCCCAAAGCCTCCCTGGGGTGGGTCAAGTGTATGCCTGGCTCTGTCCCCTCATACTGTGGGATCCTGAGGGCTAGGCCTGTGTCCTCAGCAGAACCTGGCATGGGCCTGGCACAGACTGGACGTGGGCAGATGCTGTCACCTGGATATAAGCTGCCATCTAAATAAAACCAGTAAAAGCAGCTGGAGTCCCAAAGCCCATGACCAGGAGGACATTATGAGTCAGAATCAACCGGCCATAGGTCTGCTGTTGTTGTTCGGGTATGTTTTGTTTAGAAGCTGCTGGGGTGGGGAGCTCAAAACCCAAGAAACCCCGACTCTCTGCCACTCATGGAGACCCTAGAAGACAGGGTGGAACTGCCCCTGTGGTATCTGAGACTGTAACTCTGGAAGGCAGTAGAAAGCCTTGTTTTTCTCCCATGGAGCAGCTGGTGGTTTCGAACTGCTGACCTTGTAGTTAGAGGCCAATGCATAACCACTACGGCACCAGCTGCCAGGTGACCTGACAGTGAATGGTTAGAGGAGCACATGGAGTCTGGCTTTCATTGGTTGAGTCTACGTTGGAAGCACGGCAGGGGATGGGGGGCAGGGAGGGGCACAGGTTGGAGAAGTGGGCAATTAGGGGGTAAGGCCTGGCCATCAGGAGCCAGTCTCTGTGGGCATTGTCATTTGGCTTCCTGGAACAAGTGCTGCCGAGGCTGGGAGTCAGAGGTCTACTATCCCAGACTCCTACAATGTGGCCCTTGTCCCTTTGTGTACTCAATCTCTCACGCTGAGGGTTCCTGGGAATTCCGGATGCTGAGACCTTTGGTCGCTTGGGTTTCCAAGAAAAACAATACATTATAAGGCGCCCCAATGGCTAAATGTTGGACGGTTAACTGAAAGGCTGGTGATTCTAACTCACCCATTGGCTCAGTGAGAGAAAGGCCTGGCCGTGTGCACCCATCAAGATTTCAGCCCAGGAAGCCCTGTGGGACAGGGCTACTCTCACCTCGGAGTGGACAGGACAGCTCACCCAAGTCAAGACAGCAGCTGAGTAAGGAACACCCGTCTCTCTGACCGAGTGCCGATCCTGCTCCACCCCACCTGGCGGGAAGTGGGGGTGGGGTGGGGGGTGGTCTTAGACCAATCTCTTCCTTTCTGCACTTGGCTCAGGTGGTCTTCTGAAAAGCCAACCATGGAAAACCCCATGCAAACCCCAGCTCAGTTCTGCTCTGACTCACACGGGGTCGCCAGAAGTCTGAGCCCACTCAATAGCACTGGTGTTTAAAATAGCACCAGTGCCACGGGGGTGCTCGAGGAAGAGTGAGTTCTTACACGTGGCAGCACTTCGGTACACCCACTCCTCGTTTAGACTCCCTCATTGCCCCCCATCTCCCATTCCCCACAAGGGTACCTAACAGACCCATCCGACTATTCCGCACGGGAGCGAACCAGCGAGGCCATGTGGAAACAGGAGCGGTGAGAGATGTGAGTCGCTCTGGCAGTGACGGTTAAGGTTCCGTGTCAACGTGGCCATGACTCTCGGTGGTTTGGCAGTTCTCTGGGGATTTCGTCATCTTCCATTTTTCTGGTCGGATGGGATTCTCTTTCATTTTCTCTTAACACCCACTGTCACATACTGATCTGGTCTTAGGACCCTAACCTCATTGATGAAGAGTGGGGGTGTATGACCTGCTTTGTGTCCGTCCTTCATTCTGCTCCTGCGTCCACGTCCTCAGACGTGGAAATCAGTCCCTCTCTTGTGAGTTCACACACACACACACATGCAAAGGAAAACCCGATCACAACACATTTGGCTAGAGCACGGGCCAGCAGGATTTCCCCATGGTCTCTGGCATGTAGACTCAACTCCGTCATTAAAGAGTCAAAGCAACCATCAACCGGTGACCCTGGAGTCTCGCCCTGAGGGCGATGCTGTGCGTGTCCCTGTGGAACTGTGCCCACGGGGTTTCCAGTGGCTGATTTGGTAGAAGCAGATCACCAGGACTTTCTTCTGAGGGGCGTCTGGGTGGGGTCAAACCTTCAGGGTTTTTTTTCAGTTAGCAGCCCAAAGAAACCCCAGACAGTATATCAATGATGGATGGGACCAGCTGTGGCGATGGGCCTCAGTTTGCCGACCCTTTGTCAGGTTTACGATGTAGCAACCTACAACCTAACAGCAGAATATCAGGCCCTCCTCAGCTGAAACAGGAGTGCTGCAAACTGGCTGCTAACCAAAAGGTTGGCAGGTCAAGTCCACCCAGAGGTGCCTCAGAGGAAAGGCCTGGTGATCCCCTCCTAAGAAAACCCTATCAGGCACATCTCCACTCTGCATCATGTGGGAGTCCCATGCATTGGAACCAAGCCTGCAGCAACTGGTGTGATGCTGGGCTCATCCTCCACTGGGGATTTCTCTCATCCTTCTCCTTCTGCAGCTGCTCACCTCCCGCCTAACAGCCCATCTCCCTGCCAACCCTCACCGCAACTCTTCTCCTGTTGCTCAGCCTACCCCGCAACTACTATCCACTCCGCCCCCTCCTTGTCCCTATTCCTTGTCTCTCCCAGAAGAATTTTACTTCCCCGATGCTCTCGGCCCATCCCATGTGTACCCCCCCCCCACTCCCTGCCATGATTAAGTCATTTATTAGGGAAGTTAATGGATAGGATATAGTTGTTCTGGTTAGGATTAGTCTCTTTTAAGCCGTGGGGCTCCCTTTGACCTCTGCCCGACTTGGGCAAATGCTACAGGTCTCTTTTAACATTGCCCATAAATGCCCCAAAGGCACTGCATTCTGCCACCAGCCTCAGCCTAAAGGGACTCAACTCAGGCTCTCTGGGTCAGCAAACCTGGCTCTCCCAGTTAAGTGCCGGGAGGCAACCCACTCTGCAAATGAGTCTCCCCGCGTCGGAAGGCACTCACCACGCTGTGCGGTAGGTGGGGAAGCTACCACACTGCCTCTTGCTCTTGGTGCCGCTTGCCGCCATCTCCCCACAACTCTTGTGTTACAACTCTGTCTCCTGGATGGAGGAGGTTCCTCTTGCTGGGATCTCGGGGTCCAAAGGATGCGCTCCATTCCTGGCTTCTCTTTCTTAATCCACTCTTTTCAGACTCGCTCTTTTCATTCAACAACGATTTGCTTGGGCAAAGACCTGCATTAGGAGCTCAGGAGGCTGTAACAAATGAGACAGTCGGCCACAGCCTCATGCAGCTTACAGCTCTGGCGAGTTAATAAAATAACCCCACAAGCTAAATATATAAAGTACAGCACGTTCGGCAAGAAAACGCAAGCGTAGAACGTGAGCTGATAACAAAACAGAACCAAACAACCAAATCTTTTGCTGTCAAGTCAATTCTGACCCATGTTGACCCTGTAGGACAACCTAGATCTGCGCCCCAGGGTTTCCAAGGCCGTAATCTTCACGGAGCAGACTGCCATGTATTTCTCCTGAGCGGCTGCCAGTAATCTGGTCTTTCTGTTAGCAGCCGCGTGCTTTAACCAGGGCACCACCAAGGTTCCTCCTGAGCAAACCCACTGCCACCATGCCAATTCCTGCTCAGGGCAACCCCGGGGAGGCCTCTGGAGACTGTAACGCGTCATGGGAGCAAGATAGCCTCGTCTTTCTCCTGAGGGGCAGCTGGTAGGTTTGAATCGCCAACCTAGCCGTTAGCAGCCCAACACAACCCACCATGCCGCCAAGGCTCCAAAGGGACGGTCTTTAGACTGGAGACAGATGGCCGTCAGGGAAAGCGACCAAAGACTGTGAAGGAGCCAGGCTTGTGGGGAATGGTGCCTGGGCCCAAACCCTGAGGTGACTGTCAGAAAGCTGGACACGGAGTACTTCCGCCAGAGGAAAGCCGCCTAGGAGCTCAGCGTGTTCCGTCTCCCCAGGCAGCTACTAAGTTAGGTTCCGGTGGAAATGAATTCAAATTTCCTGAGAGCATCATGGATGGAAAGGAGAAACCTGGGGGCCCGGTGTCATGTATGTCCAATGGCTACCTTCTGATGGCCTTGAACTCACTGTAAGGAGAGAGCATGCACTAACGTCAGGAAGCAGAGAAGCCACGTTGAGTGGCCCAGATCAGTCTGCTGAGAATGACACCGAGGAGGTCAGTGTTGGAGAGATCCCATCCCCTGTGCTATCCAGAGTGCGCAGGTACTGAACCTACCAGGTTCACTACACCGACAGCTCCCCTGAGATTCCCGAATTCCCAGTTGCACCTGGAATCACACTGGAACTGATGGCCGCAAGCGTCTTAGATCATTCAATAACATATATGATAATAAACTGTACATTTTTTTCAATAGAATACCTGTAGTTCTGTTAGTAATTTTTTCACATAGCATGTTGCCTGTGTGCCATTGGGCTCTGTAAAATTCACTGCAAAGCAGAAAAAATAATCAAAAAAAGAAAATAGAAAAAAAATCAAAAAAGAAAGCTAAGGCGTGGGAGTGGGGGTGGGTCAGGACGTGAGGCCAGAGAGGCGGACAGGACCTCTGGCCTGAAGCAGCTTCTCAGTGTAGTTTCTCAAACAAACGTTCCTTCTTCAAGAGGCGATGGTAGCAGCCAAGGGACATAGAGGTCAGCATCCCCAAAGCCCGATTCTTAAACCGCCCGTGTCCCCGCAGGGCGGGGTGGTCGGCATCACCATCGACTGGGACTGTGACTTGGACTGGCACGTGCAGCACTGCAAGCCGGTCTACGAGTTCCACGGGCTGTATGAGGAGAAGAATCTGTCCCCAGGTTTCAACTTCAGGTGCCTGCCCGGCCCCCCTGCGGCACCCTCCTTGGCACCCCTGGGGCTTTCTCCTCCCTGAACCCCTTGAGACAAAGCACGTGTCCCTAGGGGGTGGGGGGGAACAAAGGAGCCTGGGGAGCCACCTTCCTGCCTGGCATTGGCCAAGCATGGCACCAGCAGGCAGCAGGACCTCAGAGGCCTGCTCCCCCTGCCCTGGGGCTCAGTCCTCAAGAGGCCCATCTGGCGGGGACTGCTGGGAAATTGCTGATGTGAGGAGCTAGAGCAAGGGTTGAGGGTGGCTCCCTGGAATTGTTGGTTTGGGTCTGGGGTCCTCCCTGTGTCTGCCCCCTTGCAACCCTGAGCTAGACCCCATCCCTCCCTGGATCACCCTCTCTGTATAATGGGGTGTGTGTGCTGTACTACTCCTGGCCCCCTTGCAGCCCCGAAGCTCTGGGAGCATCTGACCCAAGATGCTCTGTGCCCCCCTGCTGCAGCCTCCCCCTCCCCCTAGGTTTGCTAAGTACTTCATGGAAAACGGGACCAACCAGCGCCACCTCTTCAAGGTGTTTGGGATCCGCTTTGACATCCTGGTGAAGGGCAAGGTGAGTGTCATGGGCGGGAGCAGCCAGCCAGAGGCCCAGCCTGAGTTCCTGCACCTGGCTTTTGGGAAGTTAGCTGGGAGGCCCTCAGCACTGCTTACTTCGAATAAAGTGGGGTGCGGGTCAATCAAGGGCAGGGCTTTCCAGCCAGTGGACATTCATCTTTCATTGTCCTCCTGGGTCCAGCAGGCAGATCTGAGGTCAGAACCCGGCTCTCTTGGCCAGCAGCTGGGCGCCCAGCCTGAGCTAGAGGCCCAGGCTACAGGGACAGTTAACAATTAGGGCGAGGAAGCCCCTTTGTCCCAGGCTCTCACAATTGTTGTGAGAGGCTCTGTCCAGTCAGGCCCCTTCTGGCTGTCAACCCCTTCCTCCTCTGATCTCTGCTCCAGGCCGGGAAGTTTGACATCATCCCCACCATGACCACCATTGGCTCTGGTATTGGCATCTTCGGGGTGGTAAGTGCTGGGGGCATGGGATTACCCGCCCATCCTACACCTCGGTAGCAGCCCCAGGTCACTCACTCCAAACTGTGTCCATCACTGCTGGGCCAACAAGTGACTCACTCCAAAAACGAAGCATCACCACTGAGCTGAGCCCACGCTGCCCACTCCCAGCCTCCTAGACCCCCACACAGCTAAAGAGACCGAGGCCTATTGCTGGGGCAGGACAGAGCGATGTGGGCAGTCTTGGACTCCCAGGGAGTCTTGTAGTGCCCCCGTAGCTCATGGGAAGCACGTGAGGTCCAGAGGAGGACAGGATTCTGTCAGGACTACCCAGTTCACAGGGATCGACGTGGGATGTGGAAGGTTCTGGACCCCCACCCCTGATGCCCAGGCTCTCTCCTCCACCCACCACCCCAGGCAACAGTTCTCTGTGACTTACTGCTGCTTCATATCCTGCCCAAGAGGCACTACTACAAGCAGAAGAAGTTCAAGCACGCAGAAGACATGAGGTCAGGGGAGGTAAGAGAACTCCCAAGGCTTCTGGTCAGGTCTGTGTTGGGAGGGTCAGTGGCGTCCCCCAGAGCCCACTTTGGTCTGGCCATACCCACACATGTCCACACAGGGAGAGCGAGACCTGGCAGCCACCAGCTCCATCCTGGACCTGCAGGAGAACATGAAGACGTCCTGAACCCCAGCCCCTGACTCCCGTCTGGACGTAGTGTGAGGCTTCAGCACAGGGCTCTGGTGGCATCCCGGCCAAGGCCGAGGGTCTCCCCAGGAGCCCTGCTGCCCTCTCCACAGTCACACACCCGGCTGCCGCTCAGCAGGGGCCTGGGGAGAGACCTGTGCGATTCTGGGCTCTGGCGCCAGCTCTCTCCACCTGCAGGGCAGGCCCACTCTAGTCTCAGCCGCCCCTGGTCAGAAGGGCTGGGGCAGGACAGGTACCTCTCGCTTGGCATTTCTCTTGGTCCTCAGGGTCTGCCTCTGTGCGCTCCAGTGTGGCAGCGACTAGCCAGAGGCGACAACGGAAACTTCCACGAACTAAAAGGGCATCGTATGAAGATGCCCTGTGGCTGCCACACTGGATGTCACGGAACCTCGTCATCATCGCAGGAAGGTCTATCGCATAGCCCTGTTTGTGCCCCACTTCTCACCGGCCTCCCATCTCCCCGAGGAACTAGGACACAGCGCAGATGCCTGGGCCCCTCCAGGCCTCCTGAACCCGAGATCTTGAGTGCTGGGCTCATGCCTGGCTCCCTCCTTTTTGAAACCTGAGCTTAAGAACCCCTGCTCTAGAACTTTCTGACTCTAAGTCCCAGACCAAAGTGTCAGACTTAGGCCTGGGACTACCATGTGGCAGGTGGGGGCATTGGATAGGGTCTTGGACACCCTCAGCATCTATGTGGCTTGTACACGTGCCACACGATGTCTTCTGTACACACTTCCATGCACACACCTCTGCCGCCACCCTATGTTTGAGCAGTTTAGGCCCTCTCCACACCTACACCCCCATGTCATGGGACTCCCCGGCACAGGCATGCTCCTCCCGACAGGTGTCTGGCCAGGACAATCCCTTCTTCAGGCCAAGAATCCTTACTCAGCTACCTCGGGTCCGGCTGGGACCCTCGGTCGGATCTGGGTTCCCTGCCTGTGGGCCCAGCCCCAGCTCCTAAGGCCTGCCCGACTGTGTCTGAGCACGGTCTCGGGGAGGATGGACAGAGTACAATAAAAGGAGTGATGACCATCCTTTCTGCCTTCTGTACTTCCTTCTGGCTCTCTCTGAACCTCAGTGTACCCATCTGGGAAGGGGGAGCCTAAGCTGAGCTATCTCTGAGGTCCCGCCGGCTCTTCAGTGAGCTTGCACTTATACCCTGAGCCCAGCGAGGTCCGGGCTGAGGGTCAGCTTGCCTCTGCCCAGGCACAGTCCTGAATATTAGCATTCTTCTTCCCCAGTCCTCCCACGGTTCTGGGGGGCCTGGTGTGGGGACCAGCTGAGAAGCCCAGGAGTGGCCTCATGAAGGCTGAGAGGAGAAAGGAGCTAGCTGTCCCGGGAGGGACTCTGGAGATAACCCCCTAGAGGGGAGGAGGCCCGAACTGGAGACATTGTGGAAAGTTTCTTCAGAGGCCCTGCTGGGGACATGGCCTCCAGTTGTAAGCATTTCCAGCCCTGTCAGCTCTGGACACCCCCTCGCCCCATACTCCGGCTAGACCGGAGCTACCCAACAGCACTTTCTGCAGAGCCGGGAACATTTCTGTCTGTGCCACCCAAGATGTTATCCCATAGCTGCATAGGAGGAGCCCTGGTATGGTCATGGGATATGCATTCAGCTGCATACTTCAAGGTCACCAAGTCGAAACCCTCAGCCGCTCCACAGGAGAAAGATGGGGCTTTCTCCTCCCCTAAAGATTGACAGTCTCAGAACCCCACAGGGGCAGTTCTACCCTGTTCCTATAGGGTCGTGATGAGCGCCAATCGACTCCGTGGAAGTGAATTTGGTTTGAGCCACCTGTGGTAGGTCCCTGAGTTTCTGCCCAACTGCTAACCTACAGGTCGGAGGCACCATGGAAGAAAGGCCTGGTGGTCTGCTTCCCTAAAGATCAAAGTCCCCGCACCACCATCTCTTGTCCCTCGCTCCCCCACCTCCATCCCCCCACAAGCAAACCATACAGCAGGCCTACTCTGCGACACCTGGGGTTGTGATGAGTACAAAGGACCCAAGGGTGATGGGCTTGGCTGTGGGTTTAGCCACATGTGAGCGCTTCCAACATAGCTCTTGCCACGGAGGAGCTGCGTTCTTTCCCTGTGATTTCTTTTTAATGAATCTAATGATGGTCCAATATGGTAGCCACTGCCCTCCCCAGCAGGCCCTTGGCTGTCTGACCTGCTTCTCAACCAAGAACATCACTCAGATTTTGGGACTGGGAACTCCCCTCTCGGCCTCCTTCTCTCTTCTCCAAGCTCACCTGTGTGTGCCCCTCCAACCCCCCCCCTCCCCAGAATGAGTAGACGTTTCTTCCTCTGTAGCCCATGGGGACCCAGGCCAGAGACCTCCTCTTCGCTCTCCCACCCGGGTGTCCCGCCTCCTTTTGTTCTCTCCTTCCGCTGCCCTGAAGCTGGGCCAGCTCCCGCGGGGGGGCACAGTCACCCTTCCAGAAAGACCAGTCTACACTCCCCTCTGCCAATGACCTCGGCACCTCAGCCTCCTTCTCCAGGATGCCCCTTGCCAAGGACATCAGCCTGGCCCGCCAGTATCTATTGACCAAGCCCTCCCTGCAGAAAGATGTCCTTCCAGCATCTCCTAGGACTCACTCTCTCCCGATTTCCCAGTGGGTCTGAAGCGCAGAGCAAAGAGGTTCCGATGGCACCTCACCGGGTGTCCTTGGGCAAGTTGCTTAACCCTCCCAGCCTCTGCTGTGAGCCAGCGATAATCACAGCCTCTACTTGGGTTGGGATGAGATGAAGTATCTACAGTGCCTGGTGTGACGGAGTCTGGCTCATGGCCCTGCCTGCAATCTAGCCACCTCTTCAATGGTGGAGTCAGCTAGGGACCCCAGATAGCAATTCTACCCCCCCACTCCCCACCCCATTCTCACCCCCGGTTCCTGGCACGTAGTTGCCTAGAATGAAGCCTGCACTTCCTAGACTTTTAAACGGAGTCTGGCTGTGTGACTAAGTTCTAACCACTGGGCTGTATCAAAGGCTACCTGGGAATTTCCCTATGGAAAGAGCTGGCAAAGGCCCTCTGAGCCCTGGAGGTGTGGTGGGTTTACATGTTGGGCTGCAAAGACAAGGCCAGCAGTTTGAAACCACTAATCGCTTCTCAGGAGCAAAAAAATGAGGCTTTCCGTCCTGAGTTCGGAAATCCAGTTCCACCCTATCCTATGGGGTCACTATGAGTCAGTCACTCATTGGCTACACAGCAGTGGGTTTGGTTGGTGTTTCAGCTCCATCCCACTGCCTGGGGGCATGGACGTGCTGGCTGGAGATCTAGTTGCCATCCTAAGCCATGAAGACAAAAAGAGGTTGGTAGAGCAGTGTGTGGAAGGCAACCTCAAGCTCATAGGCTATGGACCAGAGCTCCCAGGGGTTTCTGTTAGTCTAGCCTAACCCAGTGCAGGATTCTTTTCCCCTTAAATGTGTTTCAGGCTCTGTCTTGCTCAGGGTGCCTGCCATCTTTCCCATGGTTCTCCTTACAGTATGGGCTCCTTCTGACGATTCCCCAACGGTGCCCCCAGCCAGCCCTCTTTTCTGAACTCCAGCCCTCATATCCATCCTTCCCTCATTCATACCCAATTAGTTACTCATTCAACAAACACCGATGATGTGTCAGGTCAGGCTGTGTGCTGGATACATCCGCCATAGTCCCTGTCCTCAAAGAGCTCCCAGTGCAGCGGGGAAGAGGCAGGTAAGCATATGCTAGGTCCATGAAAGCCCTAGGAGGGACAGCTAACCTAGGGCAGACCCTGGGGAGGTAATAGAGAAATGGTGCCTGACAGAAGTGGCACGGAATAAAGTCCTGAAAGACAGATAGGTTGACTTTATTGAACCAAATTTAAGGATAGTAGGGAGCCCTAAAAGATTTCAAAACACGTGTTGGACTGTGTCTCTAGAAGATTAAGCTGGTTGACAAATGGAAAAGGCTAACAGAGAGTGAGATTGGAGGTGGGGAGGCTAGTGAGGCAGCAGGTGCAAGGTGAGTGTGGCCTCAGCTGGGGAAGGGGTGGACAGAGTGAATTTTTGAGAAGCAGAATGAGCAGGACTAAGGACCCCAGGTGGCACTGTGGGTTTGGCAGTGGTCTGCTAACCTCAAGGTCGGCAGTTCAAACCCACCAGCTGCTCCACGGGAGAAAGATGAGACTGTCCTTTCCTATAAAGATTTACAGTTTCAGAAACCCTAAGGAGGAGGTCTTTTCCCTCCTATGGGCTCGTTATGGGTAGCATTGGGTTGGGTTGGTTAGTTACAGGCACGGTTTTATCATCAACTGTTTGGATAGGAAAGGGGTAGACTATGGGTCTCCCTAGGTTCTGGCTCCAACTTCTGAGACAGGGACACAGGAGGTCAGGTTTGTGGGGAGTGAAGTGGCAGGGAGGGTTGGGGGCAGGGCTGAGGTGCCAGAAGGATCCACAAGTGGAGTGCTTAGCAGAATGAAATGAGTAGCTGATGAGCTGACCACAGGATGCTGGGGAGGGGTCTCCGAGCCCCTAAGAACAGCCGCCACGAGAAGGTCCCCTTCATTCCCTCTGCGACACCTCGTCAATTCCCGCTGCCTACTCCCACAACTCGTTCCCAAACATGAAGCCGACGGCGACAGTCAATATTCTTGGCTACACTCCTCTGGGAGGCCCTGCCCCTAAGCCTGCCATTCCAGGCCTTTCTCCCTCAGTCTAGGCCACGGCTTCAAGCCTCGTACCTCGCCCATCTTACCTCGCCCCTCCCCTAGCACGCACCGAGCCTCACCCCTTGAGGAGGGGTGGCGCTCTTGCCCCGACCCGCCAGGCTGCAAGAAGGCGGAGGATTTGGGGGGGCGGTGGTGGTAAGCATCTGTGGCCCTCAGGTCCGACCGAGGGGTCCAGGCAATGACCCGGAGGTTTTTGGAGTGTGTGCGTGGGTGATGCTCAGGGCAGCCAGCGCTGGGGCGCCGGGGGCGTGACGGGGCCCAGCCCCGCCGCAGCAGGAGGGGCCCCGCCCTCGCCTGCACCGCCCCTCCCTCAGGGGGCGGGGCGGGAGCCCAGGGCTCTGATTAGGCGGCGCTGGCGGGGCCGCGCAGCCCGACCAATGAGCGGCGGCCGGGCGCGG